GCCCTAACAATTAGTATTAATATAAACATATAAATATTAAGGTGAAGAAGCTGCGGAACTAAAGGTCAAACTGAAGTGAGCTGATTTCATGGAAATTGATGAGGTCACATTATGAATCAGAAAATAAAACGTCATCTGTTTCACATTTGAAGTAAAGTTTCTGATCTTTGAATGAGTCTTGTTCAAACTGCTTTTAAACTGTGAGGCCTTCAGGAACAGCACAAAGACATAATTCAATTTAAAGGCTCTGGATTTAACAGATTGAGGCTCGACAGGAAGACATCAGCTCATCTATGTTTCCCCAAGAAAAAAACATTCGTCTAAAAGAAGGTTTTTAAACACAAGAGGAGAAATCAGAGATAACTGATAAGATGTGTTATATAAACACATCTAAACACCTGGAATCTTCATTTAGTTCAAGTGACAAACAGGTTTTTTCAGATTAACTCCATATCTGTGTTTTGTCTGAACTTAATGAAATCACAGAAATATCTGGAACACAATGAGTCGATTCATCGCCGTGTTTGCACGTCTCACCTCCCACAGTGTTACTTACCACATGTCACTGAGAACTCGGCCCTGCAGACTTTAAATACATTTAAAAATATAATGTTTGATCATCTCTGGAGGCTAAATCCACTAAATAACTTTCACAGCTCAACAGAAGCCGTCCAAGGGAAACACAAAGCCCTGCTTCACTGGGGTGTGAGTGTCTCGTTGTTGCCACACAGAGGAATTACCAATTGAGCAACAGGGTTTTTCATCGTCACATAATTGAACCCCGGCCTTTAAAAACAATGAGTGACATGAAGTGGAGCAGGAGACTCACCTTCAGGTTAATAGCAGGGATTTCCATCACGTCCTGTTTGTTGAGAGCAGCTCAGCTCTGAGGCGGTTCTCTGCTCCCACTTGTTGAGGAGGCTGCATGAAAAACTTCAGATTTCCTCTTGACACAAACTTCTGGGTAGGAACTCCTCCTCCCCTCACATCAGCCTGCAAACACAAACCATGTGACACCAACCTGACTGCCTCCCATGTGACTCACCCCTCCTCACCCCGCCTCTCTGTTCCTGCTGCTGTGCTCAGAGAGAAAGAAACAAACCACATGAGCATCAGCATCAGTCACAGTGGCTTATTTTTATTTCTTTTAATGCCCGGCTCTCCGTGAGCGAGGCGTCCCTCCGCCGGTTCACTATGAACGATCAGGAATGCAGCAGGGAGCGTCCGCAAAGTTAAAATCTAACTTTCTGCTCAGTTTCACTTTTAAACTGACAGATTCTGAATATGAAAAAAGAACAGAAAACCATTCTATTTAAATGTTAAATGAGATGAACTATTATTATATTTATTTTTATAGCAACAGCAGCAGGTCGATGATTTTGTGACTGTGGGGTTATTATAGAAAGAGAAACATTTAGTGTATATAATAAAATATATATATGATTGTATCTTATATAATGTTGTAATTATATATTAGTCACTTTATAAACTAAAATAGGTTCATGTTATTATGATCTTTAAAACTCATCACATGGACTTTATTCCATCAGATTTTTTGCTGAGTTGTATCTTCGCCTCTAATTTTTCGCAGGATCATGAAGTGTTTCTCAATCCTGGTGCTTTCACGGACATTTGCACCCGTCGTGTTGCTCGTCTCAGGGTGAGTCACCGAGGACCGGAGCAGCAGCTACATCTTTAAAATGCAAATGTCATTTCCTCTCTGTGTGGGTTTTTTTTTCTACAACTACAGCTTCTGTCCTCTTGTATTTTAGAGGAGCTGTGACCCGTGTTGTGAATCAAACATGGCAGATGGCCGCTGCTCTTCCATATCCAGCGTGACCTCTGACCTGCGGGTGACTTTTCGCTCTGATTAAAGCTTATATTCTCCCGAACACGTCTGACTCAGCTGAATGTGCTGGGTTGAAGGTGTGTGTGTGTGCATGTGTGTGTGTGTGTGTGACAGACATGTTATATAATTTGAGGTGTAATGACTTTAACCACCGGGGGGAAAAAATTGCTCGGAGCAGTAAATGTAATTAGAAACAAATGATCCAGTTGATGTCCTGACCTGCAGTGACGGACGTGACAAGTGATTCACAGAATTGTTGTTATTTAGATCTCGTCTTCCATTGTTTGTAATATTTACTGCTATTACTGTCAATACCTCAATACCTCAGGATACATTCTTTAAACATTGATCCACCCCTGAACACTGTCTTTCATTATTATTTCATTTATCTCTCTCTGAGGTTTCTACGTGTTTTCCTGGTTAAAAGGTTTGTTCCGGTAGTTTTTCCTCACTCTTGTCGATGGTAGAACAGAGGATGCTGCACCTTAAGCCCAATGAAGCAAATTGTGATTTGTGAATATCATATTTACAGATAAAATTAGATTGTTTATAATACTTATAATACTTCTCATAAAATAATTTAAATTATTGAAGATATAGTTTCACCCATTCAATTTTGGTGTCGATTCAGACGATCCAGGAACTTGTTTTTAAAATTATGACATGAGGCAATTCCCTAATTAATAATGAATTAAGATGGATTTGTTTTAAATCAGGGATATTTAGAGGACTGAGGTTGATACTGCAACATGTCCTGCACCTTTGTTTCCTCTGATGTGAACTCCTCTCTCTTCCTTTCAGAGCGCTGCCTTCTTGATAAGTGGGTTAAGACACCAACTTGGGTCATTAATTACTTCGGGAAAGCTTTAGGTGGCCGGGTGGTGTCGGTGATGAGGGGCTGCAGCTCTGCCGGGACGTGTCTGTGTGTAATCTATCACTGGGCTGCAGGCCGGGTTCCAACAGGCCTCTCCACCAGAGCCGTCTTTCAGAGGTGCGTACTAAAAACACATCAGCTTTTATTCCGGGTCCCTAAATCAGGTTTGGCCCAATCGGAGTCTGTCTGAGCTGCTTCTTAGGAAAGAAAAATGAGTTTCTCTGTCTCTCCAGCTAATCAAATATTGATACGGATGGATTTTTAGACGCCTGATCAGAGACACAGTGGATGTTATCACTTCCTCTAACGAGTCGAAAGCTTCGCGTTAAAAGCCTCAGACAGTTCAGGGTGGTGGTGAGATAATGAGCTTCAAAGACTGTTCGTTTTATCGCATGGAAGAAAGATGCACCTCATTAACGACACTGTAATGTGTGTTTGCAGAAGCTTTAATGTGGCAAAATCAGTTCTGAGAAAAGGTCACATGAAAAATCTCATTGTGCCAGCGTCATGGTTTTTATCCTCCTGTGGCTCAACCAAGAAGATTTCCCTCTTCATCAAGTGAGACCATGAGGGAGGAAGAGATCACATCGAAGCTTCATCGGAGTCCAGCCTCGAGGATTATAAATGATTATACCTGCACATGCACTGAATATTTCTACACACTGGACCTTTAGTACTGCAATATAATATATTCTTCTTGTATAGAAATGCAATACCAAATAAAACCTGTTTTCATAGTCTATTGTTTAGTTATTTTAATCATCTTTAATCGTGTTTGTTATTCATTTATATCATACTCTTTTATTTTATTTTGACTCATGAAGCAGATATAGACTTGTATATAGATATACAAGAACAGTATATCGATAAGAACCACACCGCGTAATATTTATCGTAGTAAGTGTTTAATCATGAAAACAAAAAAAGGGCAGAATAACACAATAAAGACAAAGGTCTTGAAGAACCTTATAAATAAAACATATATTAAGACATGTATAAGGGAGGTCGAACAAGCATCTGTGTTTATCTTTCTACTGTTTAGTACATTTGAAGAGTCTCAAAATAAAAAAAAAACAAAAACTTTTGGCAATTCAAACACATTCATATTTACAACACTGTTCAAACAGCATTTACAGATGATGTGTAGTGTTGGTTTGGAGAAGCAGGTGAGAGAAAGGACTTTTTAAAAAAACAGTATTGCAAACCGTCCTGAAGCAAGAGAATAATCTGCAAGAACACAGTTTCAGTTACCTCGACACTGAATGAAGGATTTGTAAACACGGTTCCACTCTGATCAGGACAAAACATCAAATATTTCAAATGTAAATCAAATGCATGAGAAATGATGAAGAGGTGTTTGAAAAGGCGTTTTCTTAAATTCTCAAAATGTCTTTTCCTCAAAATTTGAACGTGTTGAAAAGTAAAACGTTTCCTCTGAGAATAAATTTTTCTTTTCTTTTTCTTTTCTACCAATTAAAAACTCATTTAAAATTCATTTTCAAAAGTCTGTTTTCTTTTAGTTACTGAAAAATCGAATTCAGAGTCAGACTGACCTGTTTTCATTTTCACTGAACAAATCAAGGGATTTAAAGATGGCGATTATTCTGGTTGAGGATTCTCCCACAATGCAATGCTCATAACTCAGTAATCCCAGTTAAACTACGTCTGGTTAAGTTTTAACTGCTGGTTTTGGTATTTGGATTCTTTACTGTGAGAGAAAAAAAGAAAACAAGCATCAGTCTGAAGCACTTGGTCTGTCAACAGAGTCATGTGATGTCTTGGGGTCATGGGGCCGTCATTCGTCCTCTTTCTCCTTCCTCTCGTGTGCCTCCTCTTCCTCAGATGGTGATGAAGCCTCCCTGGTCGCTGCTGACCGACTCTGGCACCACACAGCGACCCCGCCTCCTGGTGACGCGCCGCTTCCGGTGGAACTTGGCATAGCAACGAAACCCTTGATCAAAGAAAAAATACAGAAGACATTTTTTACTGAATCTTACAGAGGAGAGAGATGTGGAAACATTTCAACCAGTAGAGCTGCTGTAATGATAAATTAATTATAATAAGAACAGAATAAGAATAACTGAATAAATTTGATTCATGAATTCTGTTGAAGTCTGCACATTAGAGTGTATCTGACTCACCTTCCTCACACATGCAGTCGTCGTAGCATTTGTTGTTGAGGCCTCGGTTGTGAGCTTTACACTCGTGTTGCCTCAGGTCACAACAGGAACCTGCAGCGGAACAAGAACATTCGAACACGACTTATTCCCACAGAGACCCCACGGACACTGCGAGGAGTTCAAATCATATGAAGTCATGTCTGCGGGACGTGACCAAACAGCTTTGAGGGCTGTATTGGTTTGTTTTTAATCAGCACTGGGTTAAACCCATGTTTATTAACCATTAATGACAAATGTTTGAGGCCCGAGGAGGTAAAAGTACACAGGAAGTCACAAAATTAAAAGCAAAGTTCAAATTAAACATTGTTTTGCATATCATAGTAACTTATATAGCACTTTTTAAATCACAGTTACAAAGTGGTGAGCAGCTTTTGGTTTGTTGGAGTTTCTCTATGTTCCAGAGCATCATGTGTGATTCAGACTGACCGGGGAGGCAGTCCAGGTGGTGGTCACACGGCTCGATGGCGTCAGCGTCTTCAGTCACGTTCCCGCTGCTCAGGTTCTTACTCCGTCTCTTGTCTGCAAACGAAATAAACAGTTTGATCCTGCTGCAGCAGATAACACTTTGTTGTCCGTTATCATCTGGTGGAGCTTGTTTAGTCCCAAAGAGAAAAATCAACTAGACGTTTTAACACAAACAGATAAAATAAAGATTCAGAAAATCTGTGAAAACGTTTGATTCGGTCCAATTGTCACGTGTCTATTAAAAAACCTGTTGAGTTTAAATAAGTTAAATGTTTGTGATTGGGTTAAAACATAAACTGTATTTAAAGATGGACGAGAGAAGTGAAGAAGTGTCTCTATCGCCCCCCTGGTGGCTGGCTGCGGTAAAGGTCAGGAACCCTGTCTGCTCCATGTTAGTAGACTTGGGCCAAACTAAAACGTACGCATCATGACTCGTGATTGGTCGAACATGCGCAGACTATGGCTTTATGAGACGTCAACAGATACTCGTGTTACACAACAGGAGCGACCTTTCGTTCAGATGTTTAGACAGAGTGCGGAACAAACAGTTGATTAATGACCTTTTTTCCTGGAGGCCGGCCAAGTGTCCACAGGTTTCATGTCCTCGTAGTCCGTCCAGTCAAAGAGCGTCATGTCCAACGTTGGCATCACCTCACCTTGTCCTTTTCCACGACCAGACCGCTGAGGGAACGAGACAAATCGTTATTGAATCGGTGAAACACTTGCTCTGCCACCACAGTGGGATTTTAGGACTCTTCTATGACGAAGATGTGTATTAAAGAATAATCCACAAACTGAATCTGACTCAGAAGCTGCGCTGGTGAACACACTGGAGAGATCGATTCTGTCTCCTCAGATAAATGTCGGGTTGCTTCGAGAAGCAGCAGCAGCGGGGGATGACGATTGTTTGATCAGTTGGGTAAAAACATTCTGGGCGTTCATGAAACACATCAGACTTCTTGTTGCAGGCGAGAGGCAGTAACGCTTCATTGATCCATAAAACGCCCTCACAAAGTGGACAGCCGAGCTTTACAACCTGTCGGCCCACAGATATACATCAGCCTCTGGATTCTCAATACATTTACAATACACAAGCTTATTGATCCACACAGACTGGAGCCATCGGGCCGGTCGCTCTGATCAAAGCACTGAACAGTTTAACTTTCTTCTCGTCGCCAGATAAAAATAAGTGAAATCCTTTGGCCTGATCCGTTAACTGAAACACAGATTGCAAAATGATAAATGAAAATGTAGAGACGAGTATTTTGAAGACTGAAGACATCTCCGCTGTCATTTGCCTTCGAACAGACGAAGCACAACAGAGAAGTCGAACAGTATAATTAAGACGACAAGGCTTTGCGGTGTCTCCTGAGGAAAATTTAATCAATCAAAAAAATAAGATCTTCATGTAAACAGATCCATACTTGTTTCCTATTACCCCCAGGAAATGAGCCTATATGGAAATACCAGTGAGATTAATTGCAGGCGGCCGACAACGACTGCTCGGCTGCTCATTAAACCATCAGCAGAAGATCGAACATTAATTAAGAAGCTCGAGCCAATGAACCTGGGTTCAGGAGGTGCTGCAGCTCCAATAATATTTGACGGCCCTCACACTGAAGACATGCGCAGTCTCCGAGGGTCTGAGACACCTTGAAAACAGAATAACAAGTAGACTGTCCGTCCGCAGACATGGAGACTGAAGGGAATTCATGATGACTTGTTTAAATATCTCAGCCATGAGCTGTAGATCTGAATCCAAACGTAAAGACATACCAGACGAATAGATGATCCGTGCAGCAGGTTACCTGTTGTTACCTGGCTCAGTGATGACATGACACCAGTGGCTGTATAAATAAAAGTGAATTGAAAACCAAACAAAACACCCCACTTGAGTTATGAGCTAAATATATTATTTAGAGCGTACATAAGCTCCATCACGGTTCTACAAGCCCACTCTGTATCTGTGGAAGTTCTTTACAATCTAAATAACTGTTATAAATTAGTTATAAATGTTTGATTCAAGACTTTTTGCTCGTACTTTATTCTACAGAGCTCCAACAGGACGTCACAGCTGTACTTTACATGGAATTACACAAAATTAGAAATGATGTGTCATTAATTAGACAGGATAAAACGTGACATTTTAAAACTTTAATTCTGCTCTAATCACAAACTGCACTATGCCTCTTTAGACCTAAAATATATTATTCTTAGATAATACCAAACTAAACTTTAATTAAAAACCTCTTAGAAGACAAACTTACGTCCTATTCTGGCACAACTGCGTTTGTTTATTGGATAATGAACATATTATTTCTAGTTTTGTCTAATGTGATATAAAGTGTAAAGTCTTAGTATAACTGTGTTTCTCCCTTTGAGGAGAAGCTGTACAGATGATGGATTTTTTAACTTTCAACGTCTTTGAACAGAGCTTGCCAATAAAACAAGTGTCAGTCAAACCGTGACCCTGTGACTGTCGCCAGAAACGAGCTGTCATATGTTTATAACGACTGTAAACACACTTGTTCAACATCTGTTGACATCAGGAGCCATTTTGTCTCACATGTAACGTTCCTTGATTAAAAGAGACGTTTTTCCTCCTCGTAAATGCCGTTGAAGTATTGTGCTGGGTGGATGTGACAGGTGGTGAGTGGAGCCTCACTCACTCCTGCAGATTTCTTATGTGCCCACAGTCAGACACAAAAAAACCATCTTCACGGTCACATACATTTTGTCCTGACATGGTTCCTAATAAAGGAAAAGGGCGGTAGTTACAGAAAATGCGCTGCCGGACTATGAATTGTATGATTTTTGGACCCAGAGGTGTAGTTTTATTACAGGAAACACGATCACATCGATCAAACACTCGGGGACCAGGAGCCAGAGTTTGTCCTGCTGGAGGGTGTTTTTCACCAGCAGCACTTTCAGGTTTTTCTCTGTATCGAGTTGTCATTTCGGAGATGAGCTATGAGGTTTTGCGGCAGCGTAACGGCAGCACTGGGGCCCATTTTCACTCCATTTCCCCCTCGCGCACTGGAATCACACTGAGCCACAACAGACGCTGCCTTTAATAAGCACCCGGGCTTCGTTGGGGTTACCTGGGGTTTGGTGGAGGCCGGGGGCAGCGTTGGGGGATGCTCGTTCATCACCGTGGTAACCATGGAGGAGCCGGAGCCAAAGGCGGCGCCGATGGGGGAGGGGGGTTCGCTGGGCGGGGTCGCACCGAGCGGGGGGGAGGCAGCAGGGGAGGAGAAGGGGGAGGATGAGGAAGAGGGAGGGTCCTCGAACAGATCTCTGTCCCTCAGCGCAGCCCTCAGCTCAGGCTCCACAGGAAAACCTGAGAAAGCGTTGATGTTATCTTGTGTTTTGACTTTATAGTGAAGTGATAATATGTCAGAAATAGTTTCCACTCTGTGTCATGTCTCACCTTTACCATGTCGTCCCTTGTCTCGACGGCTCCCTTGCCTCCTGTGCTCAAAGTGGTGTCCATGTCCGTGCCCGTTTCTGTGCCCTCTTCCCTTGCGTGTGCCCAGAAGGTTGTTCTCCCTCGTCTGGGTTTGACTCCTCATATTCATTCGACCTCGGTCTCTGTCCCTCCCCGGACCCATCTCCAGTCTCACCGGGCTCAACCCCTCCAGACCCGTCCCGTCGTCCTCTGGCCTGGCCAGCGGGTGCAGAGGCCTGTGGGAGAGCAGCCCGGCCCCACCTTTGCCATTACGGGCCCCCTGGTGCCCTCCGTGGTCCCTGCCGTACCCGTGGCCCTGCAGACCTTGCAGAGGGTGCTGCAGGACGTTGCTGCCACCTGCCGAGCCCTGCGCCTGTCTCCTCTTGCCGTGAGGTGCTCCGGGCTCAGCGCTGTGCGACGGAGCCAGGCTGGAAAACAGGAACGCCACGAGCAGAATCCAGGAGAGAGCCATTGTCTGCAGAACACCTGCTGGGAACACAGAACATATAGAGAGTGGACTTGTATGATCAGAAAAAACTATTTGAGGGATTTGTTACTGCTGGAAAAAAAAAGTGAACAAGAGTAAATCAACCTGCAACTTTTCAAGGTTTTCTGATATTGTATCGAACAAATGATAAATTGATTCATCAAGAATTGATCTGGCAGATTAATCACACTAGTGCTTCCTCTTAGAAATGACGGCCATCAATCCTGTATCTTCTATGTCATTATGAGATAAAGCACAGGTTCACAACCTTCATCAACGGCTGTTCAAGGACATTTCAGACATCTTTCATTAATAAAGTCAACATGTCTGAGGGGCGACTGAAATATGAGGTTGTGTTTATCTGCATTCACGGCAGCAACTTGTTCAAACATCAGTGAAATGATGATGTTGAGTTTGAATTTTTCTTTAGATACCAAACTACGTGACAGTCAGGCTCAGTAAAGTTTTATATGGATTTGAAAGATATTTAAAAGGATGAGATATTTTTCCCATTTCACAATTTATCTAAAACCCACAACATCATGTTTACGGCTATCAACTTCCTTAATACCTCAATTTTATTTCTTTTAGCACCAAATCTCAGTATACATTACCTCAGGGCACTTTGCATAGAAGGTCCCTCACATGTGTTTAAAGAAAAGCTTGAAGCCAAAGTGAAACATATCGAGACAAACAAGAAAGATTAACGTTTCTAATTATCTCAATTAAAATTCATCACACAGCTCCTCTCCTGTAACAACATGTACGCAGTAAAGATGATACATTGATGGATGGATGGTTGAGTGGATGGATGGATGGATGAGTGGATGGACGGATGGACGGACGGATGGATGGATGGATGGATGGATGGATGGTTGATTGGATGGATGGATGGATGAATGGATGGATGGATGGATGAATGGATGGATGGATGGATGAATGAATGGATGGATGAATGAATGAATGAATGAATGGATGGACGGACGGACGAATGAATGAATGGATGGATGGATGGATGGATGGATGGATGGATGGATGAATGGACAAAGAGATGGATGGATGGATGGATGGATGGTTGATTGGATGGATGGTTGATTGGATGGAGGGATGGTTTCTCGCTCATCAAGATGTTGTGGTTGTTCCTCGTTCATCATTCTCACCCGACCACAAACTAGTTTTGGTTTCATTTTGATGAGTCTCAAATTTTAAAAATCACCCGGCCCAATATTTGTATCCACAAAACCACCGACCAGAACCGAACGAAACAATAACCACCAAAGATAAAGGAACACCAGTAGTTTTAAAAGGGAATGTAAGACGACAGGCGATAATAAATATGATATTGTTTTGTCCTCCACTTTAACAGGCGGAGACAACACATCGCCACAGACACACACAGCATCATTATGTTGCTGTGGCAGGAGACTCCTTTGTGTAAAAAGACAAACGACAGCGGAAGGCGAACAGAAAATCAATGAGGGAGAAGTATTGAGCTGGTGATGGTGTGTAGGGGGGAGCATGTGTGTGTGTGTGTGTGTGTGTGTGTGTGTGTGTGTGTGTGTGAGAGAGGAAGTGTGCAAGGTTTAGAAGGTCTATGCTCTATTTTCACACTGAGGCACACACACCAAGTTGAAAATGCACATTCTTTGGGTTTACAATGGGTTGATAGGTATTTCTAAAAAACAAAACAGCAGCTGCAGGAAATGTGTGTGTGTGTGTGTGTGTGTGTGTGTGCGTGTGTGTGTGTGTGTGTATGTGGACTTGAGAGGATGCTGGTGATGTCAGGGGAAATTTGCAGTGTGAACGCAGGAGGCAGCACCTCGGGGGATTTAAAGGCAGACTGCGTCCGCTGGCCTTTGGGAGCTCGACCAGCTGTGCAGTTTTGCAAACACAAAGCGTGAGGTCGGCCGCTGAGGTGAGACCGTTATCTCCAAATAGACCCTCGGAGTGTCAGGGGGCCGGGCAGTCGGCCGTGTCACGCACTAAGTGTTCAGCCAGGATTGTGCTCCGTCTGTTTCACACACAAGGTCCCGCAGCGTTGAGTGGTCTAAAGGTTGATTCAGTCCGAAAACAAAGAGAAAACATACAAACTCAACTGTGCGGAGATGTGGTCAGAGAACATTAACAGCCTTAACTCGTGTTTGGACCTTTATATTTTGGGGTGTGGTGTTTTAAGAACATTTTACGTTCTAACAACATGAACAGAGAGATTTTACTTTCATGGAACAGAACCGTCACCCTCCTCCACCAGGGCCACCGGTGAATAAAGACAACAGGGACGTTCAGACAGGGAAGCCATTTTACATAATTACATATAATCACGTTGCTGATCTGCATATTGTGAGGTGCTTTACTCCAGAGCAGCATAAACAGTATATTCAGTTCTGAAATTAACTCAGACGTGATAGAAAAAAAAGAGAATAATGGGTTTATTTAGTTGCAACTGAATTTCAACGACTCTAATGAGCCCAGAGTTTGAATGAGACAGGACTCATCGACTTCCTGTTTGGAAAACGTTATAGCATTGCTACGCTAGCATATAGCTATAGCAACACTGTGCTTTACACAGATAACTGAGTTAGTTTGTTAGGAATGATTATTTATGACTGATTTATTATAAGTTGATTATTCTCACCTCTGCTGAAGAGGTTATGTTTTTATGTTTTTATGTTTTTACCACTGTTTGCTGGTTGGTTGGTTTGTAAGCAAGACGACACAAAGACAACTGAACTGATTTCCACAAAACTGTGTAGAATGGATCAGGGAAGAAGCCATTACATTTTTTTTTGTGGATCCAGATCAGGAGGTGGATTGAGGATGTTTTTTCTTTTCACTTTCTTCAACATCGCATGATTTGAATTTAGATTGAACTATGGGGAACTGTTGGGGCTCGGTGGAGGTGCGCACTCTCCTGAATACCATTCTGATCCACCTGCATCTTTGTCTGCATGTTTCATTTCAGATTAAACATGTTTACAGAAACAGAACAATGCAGAAGCACCTGAGCAGGAGTTCAGAGCAGAAGCTATAAACGCTGCCATTACCCAACATGACCCCTGAAGAATTCATTTTCCCCAACACAAAGAAGGATGCAGCACCTCTGCAGACGCAGAGGGCATCGTGCGTCAGCTCCATCAAACCTCAGGCCTGAATAGAGCTGTCATGTGAAAGGAGAAGTCGGGCAGTGATGGAGGAGGGACCTGTATCTCAGCACAGCAGTGCTCACACTTTCATGTGCTGCTAACAGGTGGTCCTTTGAGGAAACACAGGATGGGGATGATAATGGAGCTCGCTGGGTGGCATTCCAGGGCTTAAGCTGAGTCTCTGGTGTGTGATAAACAACCTCCCCGAACAACACAGCCCTGCACCTCAGCCTGTGTTGGTGCGTGGCTGTGTGGCGTAGGTAAGACCCAGCAGGGGAAGACTCTGCCACTGAACAGGCTGCCAGGAGATGAGTGTCATTCACGAACGAGCTCAATCCACCAAACTGAACAGCAGCACGATGGTCGGGACTCAAGGCTTCATCACATTAAAGCTTTTACAGTAGTTGGTGTTTTGGAAGAATGAAAACATGTTGAAGGTTTTTCTCTTTCAGCATCTTTCTGTCAGTGATGGACTCTTATTTTCCAGTGTTTGTTCTTGAGACTAGCGTCTGACTAGTATAGATTGTTTTATAGCCGATTATATGTATTTCTTTATTTTAATCGCAATGATTCATAATATGTTGTTTTTGAAAAGACGAAGAAATGCAGCTGAGGTTCGATATTGTTTCTGGGAAAGGCGATATCAGTTTTCTGGCCGACAAATAAATCCGTCTCTAGATGTGGCATTTCTCTATCCTTATTCTAATTATTTTTATCTGAACATTTTATTTATTTATTTTCTATATTTGATGCTATTTGAAATTTTACTTTAATCATGGTTTCTTTAGTCTTGAATACAATTCCAATTATAAACAAATTCTGATAATAATAATTACAATAAGAAGAATACAATGTAATGACTTTCATAGCTGGAAAACACTGGAAAGAACGTCATTCTCATTTCAATACAAGAACCAATATTATGCTTTTAGTATTTTTACTATATTAACTGGACCAAGTGATGAACTGAGGAATAACATGATGTGATTTTTCCTATTAGTTAATTCTTCAAAATACACAAACAGAAAACAAGTGTGTTTCGAACATGAGAAAGTTTGAAAGGAAACAAATAAAAAAGCAACACTGGTGAAATCACTTATATTAAACTTCGTTGCACTTTCAATTGTTAACAACAAAACCAACGTCTTGATTATTGTGTTGTAGTGCTTTATCACGCCGGGCTCTACTGTGGGATATTTAGGAACATTTACGGTGCAGATGTAATAACTGAGTAAAAAAACAACTAACATTATTTTAAAGGGACACAACACGACTTGGAAAACTTTATACTGACTTCGATCTCGTTCTGAACCTGGTGGATGCAGCCTGACTTCAGCAGCATAGGGTGAGAATACAAAATACAATAAAATCTAATCAAGAAAATGAGTCCAGAGCAGCAGAGCTAAAATTGGATTCTTACTGTTAACAGCTTTTAGGAAAGCACAATATAGTGTGTGTGTGTGTGTGTGTGTGTGTGTGTGTGTGTGTGTGTGTGTGCCAGAGGTTTTTATAAGCACAGCGACAAAGTGTGAGGAGGCCACCGGAGACACATGCATCCGAGCAGAGCAACAGAAGTATGAAGTGATTGGTAATCTTGCACGAAATTGCAAAGGGGGGTGCTATTAGCAGCAGGATGATTAAGCTCTGATGAGATCAGAGACCTCACAACAGTCCGGCCCTTAAACATGGCAACGCCTCGGCAACGCACTCGAAATAAAAAATACACTAAACAGAGAGCGGACCCAGATCTGAGGAAGGTGAGGTGATAGAGGCCGAGCACGAGGCGACCCCGGTATTACTCTGCTGTGTGTGTGTGTGTGTGTGTGTGTGTGTGTGTGTGTGTGTGTGTGTGTGTGTGTGTGTGTTCGACTTTCAGCGTCACCTGCTGTGACACCAAACCTCCAGGAACCATCTGCTCCTGTTGTTTTATCGCTCATAGCAACCAGCGGGGCCATAAGGATCCCGCAGACAAAAGGCTCCAGAAACAGGCGGCCGCAGCGGAGCCGTCATGTCAGGCAGAGGCCATCTTCTGTTCCTGACCGCCTGATTAGACGTTTATAAACCGGGGAACACTCGACTGTCCATTAATGATGGAATAGATCATATCTACTGGAACAGAAAATCATCAGCCCAATATTAATCTGATTTACAACATATGCTCCATTTGGAAATTTATAACAGGCTGTCAATACTCTCAACACTTTGATGAGCAGGAACAAGCGAAGCTCAACAAAGCAGCAGCTCGAGCATCTGCTGATAAAAGACGCAAATGATCATAAGAAAAATGCATCATTAAGTTTAACAGTCCCAAAGAAAAACAAATCTGTTGTTTCCGAACGATTCCACTGAACACGTGATGCACAAAGACTTTTCTACACCCCACCCATGGCACTGACTTATTTACAGCACATTCAGATTTTGTTTTTCATCCACTCAAAACCCCTGCGCTTGCACTCAGATAGCCTCTGCTAGTGCTCCAGCTTCAGCTCTTCCCCTTGTGCTCAAGCTGCTTCATGCGTCAAACATCTGCTCCTGGACCTCTTCTCTTGTGTTTGGTTTTCTTTACGCGCCCTCGTTGTGGGTTGGTTAGCTTTACTTATGGGGCCATTACGTTACAGCTTTATAATCTGTTTTTTTTCCTCCCTATCTTTATTCAAGAGCATAGTCTTTCAGTTTACGGTCAGATTTTGTGAAGCTTTCCCTGAGATCTGCTTGTGCTTAGAGTCCCTGCACTCCAGCTTCACCTCTTGTCCCGCCCTCGGTGTGGGTGCGTTAGCTTAAATTTTTTGAGAGACAGTTACTTTCACCAGCTTCATGCACTCCTGCCCTCCACGGCTTTATTCATATCATTGTTCATTTTATTCCAAAAGTTTTAAAGGGACTATTTGAGTGCAAGCAGGGTTTTAAGTGAAAGCAACACAAACTCTAAATGTGAAATCAATACGTGTTGCTTTTAAGCTGAAAGAACCACGCTCTTGATTAAAGATAGCAGAAAAAAACATATTCATCTCGTTTAGAAAACGCCTCCGTATTTTCATAAATATCAACTCAATAATGAGCACACAAATTACCGCCTCCGTTAATGCCTCTGCATAATAAACAGCTCCGCCAAACTGCAGTTAACACCATTAAACTTAATTTCCTCAAAGGCCAATAGCACCGACTTCAGCTATATAAAAGTGCTTTGTCTGTCAAAATCCCCAGCAAACAATGTCGGAGAGGTTCACACGTCCACAGCGAGGCAGCTCTTGAGGAGTGTGTTGGATGGTGAAGGCCCCTGGAAACAACACGGGGTGAAAAAAACAAGAGCCATAAGGAAGGTCCATCTGTCAGCAAGTGAGCCGCAGCCGAGAGCGAGAACACACCGAAGGTTCACTGGTAATTTGGTCGCAGGTACAACAGATGTGAGCGAGACCAGAACATCGTCACTGATGCATGGCAACATCCGTGACATCCGCCAACGTGGCCCTTATCTCCTGATGGAGTGCACTGAAGCCCGCACTTACACACACACACACACACACACACTGCAATCCATGCACACACACAAACACACACTCACACACTCACACACTCACAGCGGGGGGAACCTCCACCAGACACCCACATATAGGCATGTTCCAAAAATGGTGTGAGACACAAACAGCACCCGAAGCACAGAAAGAGATGTCCCACAGAGAGGAGAGAGAATGAGAGAGACAAAAGGAGGGAAGAGGAGGAGGAGGAGGGGAGAAACTGAGAGGAGAAAATAAGATGTAATGCCGAGAGAGGGAGAAAGAAAGGAGTGAGACGCGAACAGAGGGAGAGGAGAGAAACTGAAATGAAAGCGGTAGCGAGAGGGAGAGAGGGGGACAGAGGGAGGATTTATCCCGTCTTAATTAGAGCAAAGTGTCGGTGGCATCTCTCATTTCGTGGCAGATAAGGACACCAGCTGAAACCCCACTAACACACACACACACACACACAGACACACACACAGACACACAACAAAGCTTTGGCCTCTGCAGACCAACAACAACTTGTTCTTTTAATAACTCGTCAAATCTGGACACCTGCCGCTGTATCTGGATGTTCTGCATGGGAACGGTTTGACCGGTCAGCGGGGGCAAGCGCTCCCGTTTAGAGACGATCAAGTGAAGCATGCCAAACCAACCCAGAGTAGCCCCACCCCCCCCCACCCCCCCCCACCCCCTCCCTCCCTCCCTTGCATTGACTGGCTGCCAATGTTGAAAGAGTCTCGATCAAACAGACGCAGCCACGCTTTGGCAGCGATGTTCAAGGCAAGTTTCACACCAACGGCGGCGGAGACGGGACGGATGTTTAGCAACGCTGGCTGAAAATCAAAATCGGGACAAAAGAAATGAAGAGGTTTGCTGTCATGCGGCGACTGAGAGTGTGAAACAGTGTGATTCCCTCAAGGTTGTTTGAATCCTTGTTTGATACTTTGAGATCAGATCACAGACTGTAAATAAAGACGGACGGCGCAACTCGACTTTGTCCCGCAGCAAAAAAACAAGCTAAAATATATATATATACACGGCAGCCATCTTGTATTTGCATGATGTGGAGCCACGGTGGTGAGGTACCGCCCCAAACAAGAGTTCAACCAATCCTGAGTCAGTCTCAACTGTCAATCTGTTTTGATAGCGTCAAATAACAAATTGAAACCAAACTTAACTGAAAAATGTGCATTTCATCAAACATCAGAGTGATGAGAACTACCCGAACTGATGGAAACCATCTTTGAGAAAAGTTATTTGATGTGAACTCTCGACTTAAAATCTGTTTTCAGACATGAACCGAAGTCCAGACGTCACTCGGTCCCGACACTTCCTGGAACTCTTCCTGCCAGCTCCCCAGTGTGAGCCCATGTGATGACATGTGATGTACATATGAAATGTAATGAATGTAATAATGAGAGAATGATGCACGGAACTGGAAGAAAACATCTACATCAAGAGCGTTTGGTGATGAGGGCATGTCCTGCCACCTGCTGCTGTACCGAGACTCCGCCTCTCACCTGAATGTTCCTGTTGACGTGAAAGCACCTGACTCTGATGAGCTCCTGCTGCGTTCTTCACATGTGAAACACGAACTCTGGAAAGTGTCTGGACTCATTTCTTTTGGACATTTTCTGTAGTTGATGTCTAAAAAAACAGCTGATGCATGTAATTGACTTTTCTTAGGAACCAATTAACTGATCTCCTTCAAACTTAGGTCAGAAAGAAACGCTGCGGGAAAATGTGGTGCAGTACGGACACATGAAGCCGGCTGCGTTCTTTCTATGTGGAAGAAAAACAATAAACCACTTCAGCTTGGTCCCATCTGCTAATATGAAGGAGGCGGGGTTTATAAACCTGTCCTGCAGCCAGCCACCAGGGGGTGATGTAGATGATTTGGCTTCACTTCCCTGTTGGGCATCTTTCTCTCATCTTTTGTTTTTGATCCAGTGTTTTACAGTGAGATGAAGAGTTGGATGATTTCAACACTGAACTGATGCAGTTTTTAAAAAATTAATTTGCACTTGAACATCAAATGATGTCCTCAGGTTCTCTTTTCATTCTCCTATCATTCACATCTCGGTGGGTGTGTTGGGGGGGGGGGGGGTTTGTTTTGGCCCAAGGTCGCCTCAGTGTGGGGTCTCTCCTCTCTCCCTCTCATCCTGTCTCCTCTCCCCTGCTGACTGACTCACAACTAATCAACAACTCCTTCATTTGAGTCCACAAACATGAGTCTCACTTTTAATTGAGCGGTGTCACACTGAGACTCCCAACTTTAATCTCTCCCTTTCTCACCCCTCCTCCCTCCCTCCCTCCCTCCCTCCATCACACCCTCACACACACACTCTCTCTCTCTCTCTCACACACATTTTCACACTGGTGTGCAGGGGGCAACAATGAGCTGTCAACAAGAGATAATCGCAGCAATCATTTCTGATTTTCTTCACCATTCATCCTATAAATTCCTTTTGCGACTGATGTCATTGTGATTTTTTTAAAGCGTGGCGCGGCGCCATCACAAAAGTTAGATTCATTATCGGATTAATTTTTTTTTTCCCGGTATCAAACCAAATCCAATTCGCAGTTTGAAAACACTCTTGATCTCAACCGCACGTGTTCAAACAAAGGAGGAACCGTTTGTGACCGATAATTAAAGTATTTATCTTCAGGATGAGACACCGGTGCGCTTTTACGCACAGATGGGATCCATGGCACAGGAGACCTATACAGATCATTTAGGACAACTGCGATACACCTGTAAAGCTCACATAAGGACCATCACAGCTCCATAACTTAGAACTACTATTACACAATGGCGTGGGTTGTATAAAATAAGGAGCAATGGATCAATATAAAATGAACACAAAGTCGCTGCAAACTCATTTAGCGCCACAGAATCACCACAGTGCGCTGAAGTAACGATGGTAGGTGAGAACACAGCCACACTGCGACTCATGCAAAATCACCTCTTACCTTCAGATTGTTTGTTGAGGTTGTTTTCTTGAATGTTAGCCCAGCAGCTCCGTCATAAGGCTGCAGCCTGAGAGCAGCGACGCACAGCAGCAGCAGCAGCGGCACCTCTGTGGTCCGGTGTCTCTGTGCAGAGCATCCGGACTCACTGACTCTTTCCTCCTCCTCTCTCTCTCCTCCTCTCTCTCTCTCTACTCCTCCTGCCTCTTTATGGGGAGGAGAGTCTCCCTGTGCGCGCTCCCCGAGTCTGCGCGTCCACGTCAGAAGCTTGTGCCAGCAGGTGAGAGGAGAGTGTGTGTTATGACACTGAATGCACCATCATTGTATTTTATTCAACTTTTTTGCAAATTTCTTATTTTTTTTTAACAATATGTTTATTGAGTTTTCAACACAACACGAAAGTATAGAGAACACAAAATAAATAAATATATGAAATGTGTTGTATGCATATTTACAAAGTCCATTATTGTCATTTAAATATACACTTATTCAGACAAGAAGATAAACACACAGGGGGTTCTATACGACAGACAACTTTAAAATATACACCAGAGGTTCAAGAGAATTCAGAAGTTATAATTATATTCCCACAGATTCATCCAACGTAGAAGATAAATCCCTATTCCTTAAAACGGGTTATGGTTTTATCCTGCATGTGAACGTCTCTGTGCATCTACACCTGTGTATGAAATGTGCTTTATGAATAAAAGAAAGCGAGAGATCGGAGCAGAGAATTCACCTCTCAAAAAAAAGGAGACTCAATGTTCACAGTAAATCACTGAGTCAGTTGAACTCCAGGGATTTCAATCTGTCCATTCAGGAAGCAGAAGTGATTGTGAATCAGTTTCACCTGCTTTGGTGCAAATGAAAAATGACAACAGGTGCAAAAGAAGCGAGACAATCACCAGAAAGGAAATGGTTTAACATGTGGCGGCCACGGACAGCTGCTCTCTCCTTATCCCCTTCGTCACTACCGGTAGCACAGTCTCAAGAGCACGGAGGAGACACCAGGAGACCGGATGTTAAAACGAGTGGAGCTGTTCAGGGCAGTCGATGAGCTGCTCCTGTGTGTGTATCCACACGATCTGGATGTTCAAAACCACCAATTCCTGCAGCTGGAACACCTGAACGTTTGCTCTGCAGCATGCAATTACATTTCAGACAATAGTGTGTCAGGTTTCATGAAGGAAACGTTTACTGAAAAAAGGAGAAATAAAAAAATAGAAACAGAAAATTACATGAATCAAACATTTTTGTGATGAATAAAACTTCAGAACTTCAAACCTCTGGAGCCAGGTTCCACCATCTCATTAGCAAAGTACAAGAAATAAGAGTGATGGCTCTTGAAGTGACAGGTTAATATAAATGATGGTTTTAGGAATTAAAATCACACAGGAGTGTAATGTTCAGGTGTTCATTTACTCTTGGTTTTGTGGTTTACGTCCGTCTGCAGCTAAAATGGATTAAATTCTAACAGAAATAGAAAATGTCTCCTGATGTTAATTTATGGATTTATGCAAAAATAAAAATTCTCAGGGTAAACAGCAGCCGAAACCTGCAGCAACACCTCCAGTAATAATCTGAAGTGAGTTTGGATTTGATTTGACGGATGTCCTCTGTAGTGAAACCCTGGAAAAGCATTTTTCACACTCAGTCGTACAAGCTCAGCCGACTGCACTAATTCTAAATCTACTCCACTATGAGCCTGCTGTGGGTCGACAGATTTAACGCTGCGTATTTGGAGAGTGATTGTGTGTAAATCACTTAAGGGAATTGGCTGACATTTAGTATTTCAGCCTGTTTTTGTGAAAAAAAATGTTTGTTGGCTTTATTGAAGTCAATGAACAAGCTTTATATTCATTTGGTTTGAATGCAAACAAATGCTGACAAGCCACTTAGTGAAGTGTGAGTGCAACACAGAGGGCCTTGAGTCTGCTGCAGGAAGATAACAGGCGAAATTTAAAATGCCTTTAGAAATGTGTATTTAGAGCTCAAACATCTCACTGAGTGGAGGTTATTGTGAGTCTTTGTGCATGAAACAGCCGCTCTGAGGGTTTATTTGTATTTGTTACATACATATATGCAGTTTTCTTCATTTGTCCGTGTATTTATTATGTGTTTACTTGGTGCAGCGCTTGTTTGGAGGCGGATCCATCCAGTCAGCGTGCTTTGTATTTAAAAAACACATCAAGACACTTTTTCCGCTCCTGTTTCATGTGGAGATTTCCACTTATTGCTTCATGTTTACAGCCTGTGTCGGCCACGTTAGAGCAAGATATCAACAGCTCTGCAGAGTTCAAGATGGCATTTGAATGGGACCCCTGTAGATCCTGTGTGACAGAAGACTTCTCCTTCTTCTTCTCCTTTTTCTAAAAATCTATTCCCACAGGTCTGGATTCTCTGGGTTCTGCAGAACAGGAGCTGCAGGTTTCTCAACGTGAAATGCAGAGTTTCTACAGATCAGTTGATGATTTGGATACCGAGGATACTTCTGCAGCTGTGGGTGGAAATATTGTCGTGGATATATAAATATGCAGTATCATTCCACAGACATCTGCCTCTGTGCGGAAATGCATATTTTGTAAAACCGTTCATTTTATCAGCTTCACACTTGTCCAGTTTACTGTTAATGGCCCAGGGAAGTGTAGTTAATTTGGACATGTGATAACTTCAGTAATTTCAATACCATCGACCTTTATGTCAACATGGGTCTGACGTTTGCGTCGATGCTTTGCAAACTTCGGAAATAGCCGACACGCAATGTATGAAAAAGATTGAAATCATTCAAATGTTTCTTTAAACCACACACGTGATCAACAATAAAGCTAAATCAGTTCTATTCTACGAAAAACACTGATGATAAAATCTTCATTGCAGATTAACCAGGTAGGATGAACACAGGTTTTTTTCATAACTACACTGGTACAAGACGCGATAAACTGCCACCTAGAAGAGGCTGAATGTACGAGACACACTTCCCACCAACTGGAGACGGCTGTAACAGCCCTGCACTGCAGCAGTCAGATTCATCTAAATGTTTAATGGTTGAAATATGCAGCTTCTGTCATGCATCTATGAGGTTGATCAAAATTACATGAAAAAAAAGAGACCAATCGTTTTAGGATCACTTTGTCACACTGTCTATGTTCATGTAGCTTAAAGCAACAAGAGGTCGATTTTAAAACAACAGCTTCAGAATCATTTAGAAGGTGCAAAAACTCACAATGTGGAGAACTGAATGTCTGTCAGTGCCACAGCGCCCCCTGGACACCTGCATCTCTGGTGCATCGCGCTGGAACATTACGACCTGCAAACGTCACACACCAGCGACCAGAGCCGGAGCTGGCAACTCGCTGAAAGAGACAATTATGGAAGATCCACAGAAGAAACTGAAAAAAGACACTGTCAGAGGAAAAAGAGACGGTGACAGAGAGAATGTCGAAGCATACTCACATCCCACCAGTAGCATGAAATAGTTTGAATTTCCCAGTTCAGTCCCACATCGGACTAAACCACCTGCAAATAACACCAGTGAACCCAGACCAGCGAGGAGAATGTTATTATTGGACATACAAGACAAACTTTCTGTGTTTACATGTGTTAAACAAAGTGGTGACACACAAATTGATGTTATTGTTACTCAGAGTCCACAACAGGTTGAGCTCATGTGTGTTGAATTCACAGCTAAAGAATAAAAATGGTTGTTTACTGTATCTGCAGTAATTGGTGTTATGCAAACACGCTGCACGGTTTTCTCAGGGCTGCTGCTATCAGTGTGTTATTGGCCTTGAAATGTATACTGTGAAAAAACATATCTCACTGTTAATGTTCTGTTCCACAGCAGCTGCAGAAACAAGTCTGCAGAAACATTCTTCAAGTTTTGAACCTTTTCATTTTTGCAATATTTTAAAGGTTTTCCAGTGTTTGACTTTAACTTAAAAAACATTTAAGACAAAATTAACTTTCTGATTATGCATTTATTTTGGTATTTCTAATTCAAACAATCACTTAAATGGTATTCAAAGATTTGATTAGGTAGTAGAGCTTTATTGTTACATTGACAAAGGCACTGGATTATTTCCTAGGGTGTATAACATTTTTGTATTTGATGCTGTGTGTGTGTGTGTGTGTGTGTGTAGTCTCAGTGTGGATCTATTGTAGGAGGAAGCTCTCGTGAGGAGTCGTGTCTTCCTTCATCTTCGTATAAATCCTGAAGTGAAGTTGCAGTTTTTTTTAACAGACAGCTTCTCCTAACATGAAACTACCCAGAGACCCCTCGTCTCATAATCCACCCATGACTGTTCTGATCCTGGAATCACCGCTGCTGTCCACACTGGATATTAATATTAGACAAAACCAGACAAAAACCAAAATTGTGGCTTCGACACAACAGAGCAGACCTTATATGTAGATGTCACTGAATCCTCGCGGGCGTCTCGGAGAACTGGTGAGTGTGTTTTGGCAGTTGGAGTGATGAGCGAGGAAAAGCAGGAGGACCCCCTGCTAGGTCTCTCCGTGCATTATAAGCTCGCAGCTCCCCAGCAGGCATCAAACACTACGTACCAGGGTGTCGAGCTTTTGCACCGCCAAGGGCAGATTCATTCTTTTTTATATATTTATATATATATATATTTATATATATATATATGTATGGGGCAACTCTCAACTGTAATTCTCCTCATGGCTGCACTGTCCCCCGACACACCCAGTAATATACACAGAGAATAAAATTCACTTTTTAACCGTTTAATTAAAACTGATTGTCAGGAGAATATCACACAAAATTGTGCATGATGCGCTTAAGTGAAGTGATGCAAATGGATTATATATATATACATACATACATATATATATATATGTTTACACACACTTGTATATCACATATATGTACAAATAACATACAATATTGCAATTTGTGAATCAAAATGTCCAGCGACTGTGACTTTGGTGAATATTTTCATACCAGCTCCTGCTCTGATTTCAGATATTTATGACGAAGCCAATAATGTGATCCACCAAATCACAACCGTGCAGTGTTTAACGTTCGATCCCAACTAGGTGCTGCAGTATTATTGCCTTCAAACAGCTGTTGTTTGGATAGAGGGATGATTTACAGTGTGTAGTTGTACATGTTAATTACAGTGACTTCCAGTTCCACGAGATGCTTTGATCTGAGACCGTTTGAGTATTCGACCTGAAATACGCAGTGTTAACACCGTCACCGAGCACCTTGTGAAAGACTTCTTGAAAATATAAACACAGTAGAACACTGCCACCTTGTGGAGGAACACGAGCAAACTTCTTCAGCCTCAGTGTGTCATAAAGTGCAGCTTCTCCCACTGATCCCAACATTTTCCCTGATGCCACTTCTACAGCGACAAGTGACAGTGATTCCCTTCTTCATCTCAATTCATTCACTGGCAGTCATGAGAAAGAAAGAAAGAAAGAAAAAAAACAAAAACAAAGGGAATCAGTGGATTCTTCCTCATCTATGGCGTGAGACTGCCGGGAAAACAAAAGCAGATATGTGTGTCGTATGGTGCAGCTCAACAGGAATTCAAGGCAGTCTGAGTAAACGATGCTTTTATCACGTCAAACTCAAGGCACGTTAATTACACTTCATGTAAAATGTGATTCCGCTGAAAGCTGCAATTACTCCAGCGGTTCTTTCTCTCTCTCTCTCTCTCTCTCTCTCTTACACACACAACACACATAAACAATGTAATTTGTCCAAATGGGTGCACAGCGTCGTGCGTTAGCAGAATATGTAAATCTTTTGAAATGAAAGTTTCTTTCCAAATCATTCTCCTTCAATCTGCAGATCTCAAGTGTTCAAGTTAACTGGACCCTGATGGTGATGAATGACATGCTCCGGGTGCGGATGACGCCAGCAGTTAGGGTCCAGGAGACTAGGAAAATGGGGTCTGGTAATTTTCAGGACTTTCATAAATGAAGAGGAGATTTTCTGGGTCAGACGTCTTCCCATCAACAGGAAAATGTGTGGAGCAGGAAGTGACGTATACATTTTGTTTACAGCACATTAACACCAACATCGGCCCTTATCACCGAAAGCTCTTGAATATCGTTGTCTCTCCAAGTTTCCATCTTTGTCTACGCCCTCTTTATGCACGGCACCTCGTTTTGTCTCGAGAAATTTGTTAATCTTTTTCAGTTTTGCATCAGAAACCTCTCCGACAATATGTTTTCAGAAAAGTTCCAGAAAAATGTCCAAAGCAAGTGGCCTGGACGTTTGCTTTGTCACATGATTTCCCTCCAGAAAATTTTAGGAAAACGTCTGAACCGAGGCGCCTGTCTGAAAACAGCTTTAGTGATTGTAGAGGATAATGGACAGAGACCCGGGAAGAAGCAACAGTAATTCTCTATATGAAACCTGCGGTAAAATCAATAATGTCTTAAAATAAAATGTAAAACCTCCGTGTGAATGATCAGTTAAAAATCTGCCAAAACATTTCAATCAGCTTCACAATCATTCACTCAGTGGCAGTATGCGATCGACATCCTTACATTCAGAGCTCCAGCTAATCGCTTCTGGTCGCTCGACTTCGACACTCTGTCCTTTTGAAACACCTCCTCGCTCACAATGGCGTCAACGCCGCAGAGTCCTGGCTGGTTATCTTTCCAGCCGGTACCTCGTACTTGAAGACCACGCTGAACAGCTTCCCTCCCAGTCGGTCGGCCAGCCACGAGTTCTTGATGACGGCCATCTTGAGGCTCTCGCAGCTGAGCATGGCGTAGTAGTTGGTGTGAATGGCTCGGCCCATTCCCTCGATGATCACCAGGTCGGTTTGCCGCTCTCGAACCACCATCGCCAGCACTTTGTCCAGACGGCTGAGGAAGATAAAAAAATGACTGTAATGACCAAAATACAGATATAAGGACAAAAAATCATGGTGGTCTCTAAGCCCAAGATAACATTAGTCCATGTAAAGATCATCCGGGTTTATGATACAGTGGGTACAGTAGTTCTTTGAAAATGTAAAATGTGAAAATGCCAATAACCGACCTCAGATCAAGACAAGGAGAACTGGATCCACTCTGGACCAACGTCAACCTGTCCTCCCTCAGACCAGCCCTGCAACACATTTTACAAGATTAGACTTTTAGAAGTTACTAGGGAATGAAAATAAGCTTAATTAAAAAAAGCAGTGTTGTATGTTATGTTGCCATCTTTGATAATAAATGATTTATAGTGTTGTTATCTAAATTTCCATTGGTTCATCAATACTCACTGAATCACTGGATCCATAGCAGCGATTCTTTCCGTCAGTATTTGCAGTTCACCGTTCGTTACATCGTTCAAAGCCGGACCAGAGTTGCTGGCCAACACGACCTTGACAGACAGTGCGGTTGAAGTAACGTTTTATAAAACAACATATGTGTGTAAATGAGGGTGTCTGTGGTTTCTTACCTCTGTTCCTCGAGAGAGAAGCTCTCGAACAAAAGGTATCACCCCTAGAATGATGTCTACTCCACTATTATCTACGAAAAACAAGGCACACTTGTGAGGAGGACCCTGCAAGAGAAAACCAGGATGGATTGTGTTCAAGCACTGATCGTAAAAAAAAACATACAACACTGACACACTAGTGAGCTCTAAAAAGGAGTCTTCTGTTTCTTCTTTGCTAAAAACAGAATATATGTTTCCTGCCAAGTTGTTTGAAATGAAACAGCAGAGAAAGAGTCTGACCTTTAGTCTCTCCAGCCACTGGTCGTAGGAATCGATGAGCCACGGCCGCTCTGAGGGAGAAACACAAAATCAGCTGAGCACCAACGATTTTCTCTGCACAGAGGAGCACTGATGCTGCTGCGGTCACCAGTGTTAACGACAAGCACTCTGATACCTTCCAACTGTTGTTTGGCCTGCTCAAACCCAAACTCAGGATCCGATTCCAGGACACTGTGTGACAGAAAAGACAAAATGTGCAAAAAAAAGTGTCATCGACACAAACATAAGCAACAAAGTCTTCTGAGTCTCTGTAAGAAGTAAAGAAACTTCCCGTAATCTGAGATTTAACATCCACTGCAAATATAAAACAGTTGTTTACCCCCTTGAAGTAAATGATATAGATGAATGAGCTGTTCTACCTTTCACTGCCAAAGAGCTTAAGAAATTAAAGGATCTGTAAAGAATCATTGTTGATTGTTTGGATTGATGGTGAGCAGCACTAATAGATTTTTACTTCAGCCAAGAAGGTGATGTTTTCACATTACTGTCCACATTAACTTGACGGATTCGGTGCAGAATTTAAGGGGGTTATTTCTGCCACTATACTTTAAATCTTGTCCCAACACATAAATGTTTGGAGGCTAGAAAATCCAGGTTCTCTAAACTTAACAAAACAATTTAAAATTAACCAAAGCAGCAACATAAAAAACACAAGATATGCAACCAGAGCGTCTCCAACTACCCACAATCCACTAAGTGTCTCAAAGGGTACGATAACTCCACTCACTCTGACACGGCCTTGGCTCCCCAGTCGAAGACGTTCCCAGCCAGGACGCCCCGCACCAGGGCAAACTGTCTCTGCTCCCAGCTCAACTGCTCCAGAGACCTCACGGCCTTCTGGTAATACTTCAGAGCCATGTCGTTCTCTCTCTGTTTAATCTGCAACACAACAGAGACACGATGCAGCTGACAGTTCACAGGCTGGTGTCTGGTTTTAATCAGAAAACAAACACGATTATACTGAAACAACTTCAGACTGTGCTTTGTTTTAAAAGCATTAAATTGTGGAAAACAAATTGTGAAACATGGAATGTTGACAAATTCAGAGAACGGCTCAGTGAGGGGACAAACCACCAAGAACACAGAAATCAAACAAAAATAGGTTGATAGATTTCACTCAGACCTTCGAGTAGGGATCAGGAAAGTTGAACTCGTTTAAACAGTGTTCCCTCGTGTCTAAAAGACTTCTGACAGTGAGGGATCCATAAGCACTAGGTGAGAGAAGAAGCACTCTACATTAGCCAGAGAGAAACACAGACACACAGACACACGGCTCGCGGCTCAGGGCAGAAGACACAGTCACGTAATTACTGTTGTTATTGTTGATTTATATTGATACTAGTTTGATTGACACTTGACACTTGCACGTCCACACTCCGTGTTGGTTAACAACTGGTAGAGTCAACGCTACATCCGCTCCGCTACGTTTTAGTTTTTGACAAAATCACTGCCGCTACATTAATGACCTGTTTGTCACCTTTATCTGATGAGCATCCAACTGCAGACTCAACAGTCTGCTTCCTGTTTCCACTGTCATGAATGGTCATGTGATATGTGTTAATAAGGACGGAGAAAATGTCTGATATTAAAGCTCAATCGTAATTTGCAACTAACAAAACTAAAACATAATCGCATGGATGTATCCTCAGACAACTGAGGCACAATTACTCACTGCATCTTAATCCTAAAAACTGAGACAACAGAGTTAACATCAAAATCTCCCTCTTCATTGGCACGTTGGCCCTTACAGCAGGTATGAAGACATGAAACTAATGCAGACAATGAACAAAGTTGAGTTTTAGTCGACTAGAAGCAACGTCTGAGTCTAACAGAAGTAGGAGCAGAGGTAGAGGCCGCTCTTACAATGGCTGGTGGCGGAGGGTCTCAAGCTTGTGTCGGTATTTTTGACGGAACTTCTCCGCTCGCTCGATTGCCTCTGGTACGTCGGGCTGACTCGCTACAGCTCTCTTGACCACCTGCTCAGAAAATAAAACTGGTTATCAGCCATTACAGGAGTTTTCAAAACATCAAAATGATTCATCACGGATGAAAAACACAGAATGTTTCTCTTACGTCGCTCTTACATGAGCGACGTAGATGAATTTTTGGAGTTCAGCGTGAAATTCTCAAAGGTGTCCAAGACGTCAATGGGAAATATGACCGAGTCTTTCTTACTACCGGTTTTGTTTATCTGTGTTAAACCCTACAGACCTCAGGCTGTAAATAAAGACAGACAACATGAAACCTCCCTTAAAGTGAAGCCAGAGCGTCTCAATCACCCCCTTGTGGCTGGATGCAGAATCTCTCAAAGATGCTTTCTGACATCGTAGGTAGTTCTCATCACACTGTGTACATGGTGAAGTGTTTCTTTTTCCCAGTAAGTTTGGTTTTGATTACTCATTTAATGGTATAAAAAAACGTGGTGAAATGATTGAGAGCTGAATCTGACTCATGATGTGTTGGTGTGACTGTGACGCCTCGGCTCCACTCCACAGTGTTTGGCTCTAAATGAGGTCAAAAGTACAAGATGGCCGCATCATTGGCTTATTTTTGTTCAACAGGGGGGAGGGGGAGACACATCATCCATCTTTATTTACAGTCTATGCCAGAGACAGAGATTAAAATGTTGCCAACAGAACTATTTTCTGTTTTTTTATTCCTCCCTCAAGTTTACCAACCTCTTTCTGTTTGGCACATCTTAATTCCAAACTCTGCTTTCATATTGTGAAACAACAGCAGCTGCCCTACCCCGTCCAAAGCCTCCTCGAAGCAGTAGAGCCAGTACTCGCGAGCCACAGCGTCCTCCGTGAGGTCCATGGTGTCGGGGATGTAAGATGAAGGGTCCTGCAGCAGCGGCAGATTCACCAGCTGCCTCTCCAGACGGTCCATCTCCAACATGTCAAACTGGACACAACAAAGAGACAGAGCGGAGACATGCTGTCAGTCTCCAGCAGATCGATACCACTGCCAGCTTCTGCTCACATTTTCAAAGACTATTCCAGCTTTCACTGTTTAAACTTTTATACTAGAATGTATTTCACAGTATTTTTCTGTGTCCTAGCGACACTGCGGTAGCTGTGTTTGTATTTTATTGAGACAACAAGGTGAAAAAGAAAATGCATGATGAAACAAGAGGGAAGGATCTAGTAAGATTTTATTAACAGGGGACACAACCAATCGTGTCTAGAGAGGGTAAAGGTTCTTAAAGGATCTTCTGCTTTTGCAGAGGGTCTCTAAGGTTGAAATTCACCTTCAGCTGAAATGTGAATTGGTAGAGCCAGACTGATATTCATTTTTAACAGCTGATGCCAGGTGAAACAATTCAGATGCAAATATATCTGCTGCATTGTTTATTAAAGACTCACATCCACCAGTTTCACACAAATCAATCGGGCTCTTCGCAATCACACTTTTCTAATTCGCACTAATGAAAACTAACTATTGAAAGCTTGAGAAAAAAAAAAAGAAAGAAACTTCATAGAGTAAATTGTTGGTTTTCAGCTTTTACACAGACCTGCATGCTCCAAGTATCACAACAACAACAAAGTCAAAAAACACAGCAAGTGCACGCTGTTAAGGGCTCTCAGGAAATCAAACACGGTTCTTCTCCATCCTCATATCAAAGGATTCAACCAAAAGTGATTCAATCAGTGAGAAAGCAGCTGCAGGATCCTGAGCAAAGCCAAACTAAACCTCCTCCTCTCAGGTCTCTCTTGTCCCTGCCCTCATTCACAAACAAGTGAGTGCCTGACTTGAGTGTCTACAGCTAAAGAAAGCAACTGTGAGCAGGAGCGATATGTCATCATCAACCCAGAGCACACATGTCAAGCAGCCAGAGGTACTTACGGAAAACTGAAGGAGAGGGTTTGGTGGACAGAAGAATGTGAGGGGAGGAAATGAAAGAATGATTATGAGATTGCAGAGACTGATGTGAGGAATGTTTTTATCTGGTGCCTGTGGATTCCGTGAGGACAGTGGTGATGGCGACTCCATAGAAATGATCAGAGCTAAATTCTTCAGTTCTGAAGAAATTTAATTAAACAACAGTGGAGGAATAAAAATCAATGAACCACGAACGGAGTGAAAATAGGTCATGAGGTTTGAGGTTGTGAATTTTTCATATCAAGCAACTCCTGACTTCCTCTGCGGACTCACCGTTCCACTGCGAGCACGTTGCATGGGATTCATATCTGGAGAAACACTCATCAGGCCCGAGCTTCCAGCATAATTCTCACCCCAACTGTACTGGTTTGGATCTAAAAGACAAAAGTAATAGACATAATTAAGACATTTATGGTGTATGATATTTATTATAATAGTTAATTTCCAATTTTAACTATGATTTCTAATTGTTTTACAGCAGCTTTTATTGGTGTTGGTCATCCAGCATTACTGCCCTCTGTAAATCATCAGTAAAAATATTCATTCAACAATCTGCTATGAGTAAAACTATGTTTCCAGTCAGGGAGGACTTGTCTAATGTGTGTGAAAACTACAGCAGGTATTTGTAGTATTTGTTTTCTTACTATCTTCCTCTGCTCCTTTAAGAAAAGCTCCAATAGCTCCGAGATATCCTTCATGTCTCAGGAACAAGGCCTGAACTTCACCCTACAGCCACAAAACAAAACTCACATCAAAATCTGGACTGTGGGAGAAAGTTCAGCTGATAAGAAACAAAGTTTGGGACGAGACAGAGATAAAACAGTGAGAAAGAGACAGAAAACTGAACTGGGAAGTCTTGCAGAGCTTCAAGACACTGAACGTTTCTTCTACATACACAAATGTAGTAATAGTGTTGAGGGGATTTTTAATCATCCCTTCATCCCTTAACAGGCTTTGTGTCCATTTGTATGTTGATTTGTGTGTTTTCTTGTCAGGACAATTACACAAAAACTACTGAACAGATTTACACAGAACTCAGTAGAAGGATGGGACATGGGCCGAGAACATTTCAACATTTTCCCCAATGTCCAAGGGACTAATTCGTGGATCTAAATGAAAGAAATCAGACATATTTTTGGTGCAGATCTAGCAGATTGAAATGTTTTGTCAGAAGAGTGTAGACATTTTTCAATCACTGTACAATACGAAATATCACCTCAAACCTGTCGCTGCCACTGTGCAGCTGAAATCATTTGGATTCAGTTGGTGAGCAACAGTTTACACATGTCTTCAACAAATTTAAAATGATGTCCAAACGTTGGGCCCTGGAGGAGTTATATTCTCTACTTGTTTGCTTTTGCGTCAGCAGAGGAAGAGCCCTTGCCTTTGTGAAGAAGTTGATGCTGTAGGTGATTGTGTGCATGGTGACGGGGTGTCCTCGAATGAAGAAGCCTCCAAAGTAAACTCTGGTCAGGTTGTGGAGCTTGGCATACAGACAGGCCAGCTGCCCGATGTCATTGCTGATCATATGGAGTAAACTCTTGGCCATGTCTTCTTTAGAAAACGCTGTAATTCAGTAGAGTTATATAAGCACACAGGCGAATTATCCATATTACAAAACTAAAAATATGTTTCAAAGCAGTAAAAGACTAATATGTTAATGTTTGTATTATATTATTTTTTTCAAAAACTCAATCGGTAATTGTAAACGTTTTTAATTATTCAGATTGTGACGGATCTCGGTAACTCAACTGTTGTCTGTAGCATAATAAAATATAATTAAATTGCAATTAATGTAAATGAGAAAACAAGAATGTCCTAAAATGATAAAACTGTGTTTTTCTGATTATATGAGCATTAGGACAACAAATCAATGTTCAAAGAAACTGACATTAAAAATCATGAAACTATACTAATCGCTCCTGGTACAGCATCAGCAGACGGACATTAACAGGCTTTGCTTCAATAAGACGGCAGAGAAGGAGAATGTTTGTACCGAAGCAACATTTCCAAACAGTTGCAGAACAAACGCAACACATGAGCAGAGCTGCAGTAGAACAGAGTCAAAGGTCATCAGTTGATTTCTACACAAGTTTTGTACTCGGATTGAAAAACATTAAGTCAGACTTGCCAAAAAAGAAATCAGCAACGAGAAATACAGGAAAAATGGATGTGACTTTGTGACATCCCTTCTCTGTTAGCTGTCTAACGTGCAGCCTGCAGTCAGCTCAGATCCACAGATGTTACATCGGGCTCCAGTGATGTTCAGGGATTAAATGAAGCTCTGCATTTTGCCATTAACTGGAGACGGTGTGACAGTTTGCAGTGTTCGGAGCATATGGATGGACATCAGAGCAGGGGATTATACTGCAGGGTTGGTTTGAGATTCACTGGAAATGTTCATACTTTCTTAACTGGGAAACTGGGTCACCATCCGACTACATTTCACGCACCATGAATCTGAGCCGACTGCAGCTGCTGCCCTTCGAAGCAGGAAAATTAGCAGGTTACATTTTGCAGCCCCCCTCTTAAGTCCACATGAAATAAAATGATGGGAAAGATACTGATTTAATATTTTTTTTTAAATATTACGGTAAAATACTACGGGTAACCTCGACATATACAAACATAACGCTACAGTAAAGCCACGTAGTTAAAGTGCACATGCGTCACCTTTGTCGGCAGTTGCAGATTTCCCAAAACTGCTCGCAATAAGATCCCCAGTCAAACCCAAAGACCCGTACGATCCTCCATAGATATCTTTGACGAGCATATCAACACTCGCGTGCTGCCCTTTAGAGGCCAACTGTAGCAGCTCGTCAAATCTCTACAGGAAGAGCAAACAATAAAGTTCATCACTGCGCTGAGGAGCAAATAAGAAACAATGCTGCAAGCAAAGACCATGATGTTTAAGATACCTTTGTTTTGGTGAGCAAGGCTCCCAGGCCCCAGAACGTCCCTCCACCTATCGAGCTTCCTCCTATTCGCTCAAATTTGTCTTCTGATTCAACCTGTTGAAGAGGGAGTAAAGGGGATGTTGATAAATGTGTGATCAAACAGAGTAAGAGCAGAAGACTTTTGTTTTTACGTATTATATTCTCCAGTTTAAGTCAGAAAGTCATGTGCCTTTATCCCTGTAGGCTAGAACAAACCCTGTCTAATCCCGATACAAGACTTTTTATCTCTGCCAGGGGAAAGTTCTTTCATCTGACATTCAGCAGGATTACTCAAAAACTACTGAACCGATTTCCACGAAATTTTGTGACGCATTCAGGAACTTTTTTCACTTTCTTATTGGGAAATAGTTTTTTTAAAGTTTTACTGCTTTCTGCCATTTTGTCTGTGTCCGACACATATTCCGGAAAATATTTATGCTGATTAGAAAATGTCTGCAATAAGAAGTCAATGTCACTTTGACTTATGAAACTGCAGCTGACGTTTCCTTATCGATGAGAGACATCTAGGTTGAAACTTAGTTTATCTGAACTCTTTCCACTGAAGCATCCTCTAGTTCGTGGTGTTTAAAAGCTTTGAAGAAACTTTGCTTGTTAAACAGCGAACGCTTCCTCATCAAACTACACAGAAAACCTTTGATTTTTTGAGTTTTTACCTTGACTATGGAGACCCCAGAGCCGATGTTTACAAGCAGGTAAGGGAAAATATCTGGATGACTCGTCTGGAAGCGGAACTCTGAGTCAGCGTGCTTGGCGTACACAAAAGCCTCATGGGGGATGTTCCTCAGCACAAAGTTACAACCCTTGATAAGGCAGGTCATCTCATCCTCTTTGTCCACTCTGCCACACAGCAACACAAGAGATAGATTAATCAGACAAATACATAAAAAAAGCCAGAACAAGAGAGAAGCCATTTTGTCCACATGCTGCAGGTAAATCATTAAGCACAATGTGCTGCCTCCTTGTTACATATGTCTTTACATTTTACTAGAAGCTGTCAGCAGTCAAGGGTTAAGAGCCATACAAGCAGATTTTAGTGCCAAACTAAAACTTGAGTTGATTTCACAGTTGAGTTCCTCTTCTCTGAGTTACACTACTGGAGTGTCAATGTTTAGCTAATATGGATTCAGACAAAAAGCAAGTCAAACACCCTGTGAATGCCTTTGTTTTCAGATGGTTCACCAACAAAGAAGCAGCTAAAGCTGGCAGGCCATCGAACAGTGGAGTTTTTTTTCCAGAATAGTCTCCATGTGGTCTCTAAAAGCTCTTTCCTACACAGTCAGTCCTCTGATTTAATTTGTTTCACAGGAAGAGGGGAGGACAATTAGTGTAGATTAAGACAACTTACTGAACAGTTGGTGTTTACACTCACCTGAGACCAAGTTTCCTCTCAATGAGCTCCTTAAATTTATGTGCCCCTCCACCAGTGGCTTTGATAACTTTGGTTCCCGTGTTGACCAGATGGTCTTTGATGAAGTCCAAGCACGTTTCAATGTACGCATTTTCAAACTTGATAAAGTGCAGACGAGGGGTGACCTCTTCCTGCATCGATATCTCATACAGCTTGTCACTGGCAGCCTGGGGACAGAAAGACCTTCTTTATTCATCCTGCTACTGACATCGCCTCTGCCAGAGGAGAACACTGACAGCATATTTCCACAAAGGTCTAGTGTTCAGGGTATATTAGATTATCTGGTGTTCCTCTGCCAGAGGAGCTGAGGGCAATCCGGTAAACACTTTTTAAAAAGAAATCTTAAAACCTACCGTTTTACCCAAGCATTCGCTGAACCCATTTTAATTATCTTAATCTATTAAATTCACATCACCACCACCACCATACAAAAACAATTGAATTAATGTTTTTATTTATTTACTTAGTAATAGTTTCAAGTTGAGTATGTATTCAGTGTGACTGTTGGTATGGTGTCTTCGATAAAGTCCAGTCACTGTTTATATAAAATGTACAGAAGCAGATCATAGATATAGAATTCCATCTGCTGCCTGACAAACTGTACGGAGCAATTAGTGAGGTGGGATGAAACTGAGACTCATTTACCTCTTCCACTTGAGATTACCACAGCATCTTGTTATCTTATCTAATCTTTCCTTGTGTGAATCTCATACTCATTGCATTGCTGCACGGTTATAATTTAGGTTATTGCAACATTGCACGAACAGCGCAACATAAATAAAGTCTGATTTGACTCATTTTAAAAGACAGAAAATGCAGGAGGGACCGAGAGATGGAGGCTTTTCTCATTCATGCATTTTGGACTGAGGAGGGGGTTTAGGGGGCCGAAGGAAAGGTTGACACTAGCACCGGGACACCGGGGATGTCACAGGAATGGACGAAGTAACATAACACACACATATGAATAATAATATTAATGATATTTACCTCTGTGCTGTGCTCGAATGATCGCACTCTGGCCACTTTGTGTTGTACAGTAGAGTAGTAAGCTAGCTTCGTGAGAGACCCCCCTGTTAAACAGATCTGCATGAATAATAATAATAATAATGATAATGATAATAATAATGAAAAACAAGAGATATCCTGGATCACAGCTCACATCCTGACTTTAACACTTCACTGACTGTGTGTTTACACTTCACACCAACACATGCTAGCTAACGGCTAACACCACCTGTAGGGGATAAACTGAGCGCACACACACACACACACACACACACACA